AAAATAATGTCTAAAAAATATAATTCTCATAAAAAACAAATGTACAAAAGGACATTAACTTTCCCGTTGTACTATAAAAATACAGGATTAAGGTTAAAATACTGTATTAGCGTTAACGGTAAGTTTAAAAAAATTTTAAACGTAACGAAATTTTATGTAAATTGCACTATCGCTATTAGTAATCACTGAGCTACGTACAGAAATCATATTTTTTTTTATTTATGTATATCTATATACAGTATCAAATATTCAAATAAAAATAATATAATACGTAATACGTATACGTAATAGTACGTTGAGGTATAGGGGTTATTACGTGATCGGTCCCTAACCTCCGAATTTTTTTATACATATTGTAGACGATGCAATGTGCGAGGGGCGCACACTAATAATACTAACATTTTTAAATGAAAACTGCGTACAAACAATTTTAACTACGTCTAAGCGTCATGTATATTGGCGTTTAGATGTTTACTATTTTCTATAGTAATTTATATTATGACTGCGCCCGTGAGAAAATTTTACTAATGTTTACAACTAATACCCGTTTTACCATCCAATTTAGCCATTATGCCGGATAATATAGTTTATGCTAGCAGGGAAGAATATTTTTTTAAAATGACTTGAATCATTAAAAATAAAAATAAAAATAAAATAAGACTCTTGGTATTTAAGTGAATTGAAATTATATTTAATTTTTTTGTACACAAATAAAAAAAATTTTTTTTTTTTTTTTAAGTTTTTAATGAATGCATTTTTAAAGAATTTAAATTTAAAAGTATATAGTAAAATAAGCATTTTTTCCTGTAATAAAGTTTTTATTGGTTATCCAGAAAAAAAATGTTTCGGTATCAAGCTTACCCTTAACGTCATTCGCGTTTTCTGATCCTTAACCAATAAGTTCTTTGTTATTTGTTTCACCATCAAATAAAAAAAAATAATAATCAAAAATTGAAGTGCTCGACAAACGATAAACGATAAAAATCGTCTTATTTTAATTTCCGCGGACTCCCATTTAATTCATATATCATTTCTCGGAGTTCCGTCGGACAGTATCAGTAATATTCGGATTACGTATGATACCTGATACGTACGTACGTAAGTACCTTCATGCGTACAATACCATCAGGATAACCGAAAGGGTATGATTTGCTGTAAAGCATCTCATGACACATCTGCAGTGTGCATTATATAAATTATTTTAGTATATAAAATTATAAATAAAATTTATGCAGTTGGTCTAGATTCTACCCGGTGAATTAGAATATAGGGGGGTAGTTACCCGTGGGTATAATATGCCCAGCCAATCTCAATTTCGGAATCATGCGTAACTATTCGGCGTTACTTTCATATAAATTAATCTGCCCATTGGGTTCAATGGGAGTTTCCTTGTTGCCCAATATTCTTCCCAGCTTTTTCACAATCATACGATAGATAACTAAAAAAAACTATTATTATTATAAAAAATTTTACTGATAAAAAAAAAATTTGTCTTGAATTTGGTTCCCAACGTTATATCCAAACTCATATCCCTCTAATATGCCGGTGTGTACGTCTTGTCATCAAACTAAGCCTGACGAAGCCTTCTTTCATAAAAATAAAAAATGGAAAACTTGTCAGAGTTGTATAGAGCAAAGAGCTCTTAAAAAACAAAAAACAAAGAGAAAACGCGATGACGAAGTAGTAGAAGAAGAAGAGCCCACGCGTGTTTCTCTTAGAACTGTTGGTCTAATGGAGTTGTCAAACCTTGTCGCTTCTGAAATGCGTGCAATACTTCATAATCCTCAACCTATCGGTCCTGACGGTACTCCGCAATGTGCCTTAAACCTACGCGTGGCTTTAAACCTTACGAATATGATAAATGGTAGCGAACATCCTAAAGAGGTTGCTAGATGGATCGTAGAAGAAATAGAGAGGGCTGATGAATATAATTGGACGTAAGAATTTTGATTTTTTTTATTCATATTATTATTAAACTTTATTATATATGTATATATATACTTTTCTTTATAAAAAATATTTATAATATTATTATATATTTTATTAGGTATAATTGTATGAATACTTCGATGCGTCATAAAGATGTTGCAAAATTCTATTATGTTTGCAGTCAATCTGTAGTTGCAATGAAAGAGTATAAAGAAGGTTCTAATAGAAAACGAATGGAACGTTTTCCATGTCAAGGGAAGATGCAAATGAAAATCGATATGCCAGCCGCTGAAGCTATGCTTGAAATTCATCATGGCATGCTTCATAATAGACCTGTGATTACTTCAGAAATTAGTGAAGAATGTAGAAAAGAGATTGAAGAAAACGTTCATTTAAATCCTATTCAATTACGACAATTGCTTAGAGCAAAAAATGTTATGAAAAATTATACCCCAAAACAAATTCATACTTATTGGGAGAGAACTGCTAATATTAAATGTCCAGAATTAGTCCCTCAATATTCTGTCACCCCTGTTGTCCCGGTTGTTCCTATGTTACCAACAGCTGTTGAGGGTACTTATACAATGATACCGACGATGCCATATCCTCCTCCTATACAACCTCCTCCTCTACCTATGCCGTTGGTCACAAATACTCCTCCTCCCACTTCACAAAAAAGTACTACCGAAAAAATTTCAAAAGTCGGTAATCATACTTTTAATCATGATGAATTTGCTGAATATGCTGCAAAGATGGAACAATTTGCAAAGAGAATCAGGAATCAATTGGATCGTCGGAATTATCACTGGTTAGATACCGTGAAAATCTTGACCGCTGGAGTTATCGAAATGGAAAATGATATTGAAGAATTGGAAAGGCAACGTGCTAGCGAAAGAGCTACGAAACCATGGACAATTCATTATAAATAATTCTTCATTATCACACGGTCATAGTTACATATGTATGATATGTTATAGCTTGATTCACTTAACAACAACATTATATATGGCTTATACGAGAATGAGTAATTTTGTACATCTTTTATTATTATATTTTGTTAGTTTTCTCTTTTCTCCTCGTATTTGATATTATTTAAAAGATTATGCCAAATCATACCACACGTGGATTTGAGTTCAAGGGCTGATATTTTATTTTGAATAAGATTTTTTATTTTCTCAACTTACAAATTAAATTCCTTTTTTTTTTTTTTTTTTCTTTTATACTTAAATTGTAAGAAATTTCTTCCCTCCTTTCATTTCGGGCGTGTTAATGATCGTCCGTGTCTCTTTTAAAATTGTGGAATTTGACTAGAGAATTTTCTCTATTTTGGTATAATATATCATAATATATTAAAGCAAAAGTATGAACCTACATCGCGGGAAATTTCCTGCTAGGTCTTTGAAAAATTACGAAAAATGTGGATTCGGATGATCTCAATTTTATTATAATATCAATATATATTACCAATATATATATATATATATCTAAATTTGCTCAATCTTTTTGCATTAATTTAAAGAATGTCTCATTAATTTAAAGGAATGTATATACAATTAGAAAATTTACCGAATTAAAAAAAAAAAAAAAAAAAAACCCCCCGCTTAAGAATTTTAATAATTTTAATAATTTTAATTTAAATTTAAATTTAAATCGAGGCACTTGATTCCGGATATTATGACGCGTTATCATCGAATTTTTTACACAATAAACGTTTTGCCATTATTTTCGAATCTGATTTTGTTGCATTAAATATTAAGTTTTTCGCTCTTTTTCTAGCATTGGAACTTATTATTCTTTTAATGCCTGCAATTTTTGTCTTTGTTATAATTCATTTCAATCAATTTCTTTGGTTTTTGTAGTTACACATTTCATAATTTGTAAACGTGGACATGTCTGACAGTCATGCAAATAGATGTGGTTGGTTGCACTGTTTGATCTGCTTTATATATCTTTATATAAAAATTCCAGTAAACTTTCGATTCCAGTTATATGTATATATACATAAAAGCCCCCAAATTATTATTATTTTTGATTTTTTTTTTTTCAATCTTTTATTTACTACATTTTATCATATTACGTTAGTTCACTTTTCCAAAGAATTTTTATAGATATTTTGTGAATCAACAATATACATATAGAACTTGCTTTCTTTTTTTGTCCTAAAAGTTTAAAAAAGAAATATGGGTAGGTCTGCTTTTAATCTTTTGAAAGTTGAATCTTTAGGATCAAGCTCATCAGCAAAGTTAACATCAGCATTTTACCCTGTTGGTTTGAATAGGTGGATATTTTAGTAGATTGTTGGCACGATTGTGGGGTGAAAAGGAGGTACGAATACTCATTTTAGGCTTGGACGGAGCTGGTAAAACAACAATATTATATCGATTACAGGTATTATTTTTATTCCATTCATTTAGCCTATTTAAATTTCTAATTATCTTGATCAGAGTGCTCGGATAAATATTTTCAATAGTAGTTATTTATTATCAAAAAATATTTTTTATTACAAACTTATTGATATCGTTTTCCTTCTTTCATCCAGATCGGGGAGGTAGTAACAACTATTCCAAGTAAGTCTATAACCAAATCGCGTGTTCATTTAATTTTTTATGAATTCTTTCATTAATAATTAATTTGAGTATAATTATAATTTTAAATTTGATAAATTATATTTAAATTATTATATATTTTAAAATTTTAATAATTACTATTTAAATTTAATATTTGTATTTAAATTTGACGTCATCATTTATTTATAGCTATTGGGTTCAATGTTGAAACTGTAACATATAAAAATATTAAATTTCAAGGTGAATTGATAGATTAATACATACTTTTTGTAATTTTCATTATGCTAAATCGATGTTTATTGTATTTATAGTATGGGATTTAGGAGGTGAGGAATCATTACTCATGGGTTATATGTATGAAATTTTATTAAATTGGCTGTTTTGACCCTTTATTTATACACAAACTACGTCTGATAAATTCAGGTCAAACAAGTATAAGGTATAAATATTATATTTTTATTGGTGTCTATTTCAATTCATATATGTATTAATATTGTCTTTATTCTTCAAGACCTTATTGGCGTTGTTATTATGCAAATACCGATGCAGTTATATATGTAGTAGATTCTATAGACCGTGATCGTTTGAGTACCTCAAGAGAGGAACTTCATGCTATGCTTGATGAAGAAGAATTACGAGATGCTGCGCTATTGGTCTTTGCTAATAAACAAGATATGGTTGGTGCATTGACTTCAGCTGAAGTATCTGATGCTTTAGGGTTGAGCACATTGAAAAATCGACAATGGAGTATTTATAAAACAAGTGCTGTAAAAGGTGATGGCCTAACGGAAGGGCTGGATTGGTAATTATCATTTTTCAATGCATTCTCAACTTTTTTATTAATATTTATTGATTATTTATATTTTTGTTATTTTACTGTAGGTTGGTAAACATTATTCAAGGGAACAAAAATTGAGCAATTCATCATATAGAATACTATAATACTATACAATACTACATGAATTTTTTTTCAAATAAGAACTTTATTTTTCATGACCTAATTCATTTTAATAGTCTACATTGGATATTGTACAAAAAAAAAAATTTTTTTTTATTTAAACTAGTTTTCATGTCTTTTTTCATTTTTTTTTTTTTTTTTACATCAGTTTGTCGTGTTTGATTTTTTGATTTAAGGCAAAAGTTAATAATTGATTTTGTAATTAAGTTTAACGCAATTACCTTTGTTGTCATTTTTAATACTTAATTATTATATATTATTAATACTTTTTTTTTTTTCTTTTTTTTTTGTGCCTGGGTGAGGGAAAAATTATATTATTTGTAAAGTATTAAAGACGGTAATAATAATACAGTAACATAGATTTCATAAATGCACAAAGATTTCTTTTTTTTTTGAAAAAAAAACGGTTAAAAATAAACGGTAATAAACTTACCAATATAAGTAATATAATTCGGGGCACAGGCCAACTCTAGCCTGTGTTCTTGTGTAACAAAGAACCCTATTTAAAAAATATTAGAAAATTTGTTTCGTAATGATAAACTTTTTTTTTCTTTTTTTTATACTATTGAAACGAGATATTTATTATCGAAATGAGTTATGGAGAGGTTTACCAGTATCATCCTGAAAAAATTCATACCTCAATAGGTCATGAACGTCGTGATTCAGAAAGTGATGGATCTTTCAGGCCAAGCTTTTTTCAAAAGTATGTACTATAACAAATATTTTTTTCATGTGTTGACTTACATAGTTTCACCTCATAAGTTTGATTTCAATTCATCTTTATTAAATTAATAAATTTTTAGGTTTAATCCACGATTAGTAAAGCAAAAAATTCAAATTATTCTTAAAGAAAGATTAGAAAAAGCAATTTACGATAAAGATCAAGCTCCCGGGTGGGCTAATGAAATAGCAGAAGCAGTTAAAGCAAAACTATTAGGTTACTATTTTATTTATTTATTTATTTTTTTTTCACTACTTACATTAATTATCACGTTACAAGGATCTAATTGCAAATTTCTTAATTTATCATAAATAGGTTTAGATCTTAATAGATATAAATATGTTGTCAATGTTACTATTCTAGAAAATAAAGGAGTTGGAGCTAGGTAATCAAAAAAAGAATTGTTATACAGTATATATACATATTTATCTTTAATTTATTAATCAATTTATTGTAACATAACATTTGTTTTTTTAGAATGCAAGTTAATGGTTTATGGGATCATAATACTGATAGTTACGCCCAAGAAATCTTTAAAAATGTATGTGATCTATTTTATTTTATATGAGTGCCGCCAAGGGAAAACGGTTTTGTACCGGATACAATCTATTTAATTTATTAGGGAATATGTCCGGTACAAAATGGGTTTCTCTTGACGACACTCATATGAGCTATTTACTAAGTTCTTTTTTTATTAGCTTCTTTGATTATCACTAATTATCAAAGGAGCATAATAAAAATTTATATATTTAATAGTCAACTTATATGTATCATTAACTCGATATTTCATAATTAGGAAACAATTATCTGTATAGTTATGGCTTTCGGTGTATACTTCTATTAATTTATAATAATTATTAAACTTTTAAGGTAGCAAAAAAACTTATCTATTTATTGTTTGTTTTACAATCTACAACTTTATTTATTACTGATATGTAGTTATTTTTTTACAAAAGATAATATGTATATAATAATATACAGTATATTATATTAATATATGATTTAATTTTTTAATGATTTAAATAAATTAAATTTGTTTTTTTTTCACAACAAATTATATTTAATTAGCAATTTTATATATAAAAAATAAAATATTTTATTATAAGAAAAATTATATTTATAACACCTTATATAGAATTTTTCAAAAATTAAATATTTCAAAATCTTACTAGAGTAACCCTGTCGTGTAACTAAGAAAAAAAGCTTTTCTTACAATTTTACACTAGGCTAATCCAATCTAACTCTAACCTTAACCTTAAATTTTAGTTGCAATAGCATAGTCTAAATAATAGGGTGTTATATATAACACGGAGTTATAAATATAATATTTCTTATTTAAATTTTAATTATATTGTAATATAGAAAGCTGGCCTTGCTAACTATACTACTTGATTTAATGTGAAGAGGGTAAAGATATGTATATACAAAAGGTAAAACTCAAAATAAAACTCAGATATGACTCAAAGGGAATAAATTCAAAGGATATAAACTCAAAAATAACTCAGGATATAGGATATAAAATATAGGAAATAGAAAGAAAAATCCAGAAAAATACAATAAAAATAGAATAAAAACTCAAGGA